CAATTGTTTAGGTTTATGTCCCTTTTTATTTCATTTAAACTTATTTTGATTTATTTTCCTTACTTTTCCTTTATTGTTTATTTTTATTAGTTGATTTTAATCTTATTTTTGGTTTGGTTTTATATCATGATTTGTTAATGTATGATGAATAACTGAATTGTACTGTTGTAATTTTTGATAAAATGCTGTTTATTATCTTGTGTACCACATATAGAGCCTACAGTTAATGGAGCAGCACACAAGCCCAATAAATAAATAAAATAGTTATAGTTCCACCTTCTTCCACGCACATGAATTGCCTTATTTTATACCCAGTTTTCCTGCAGGTAGCTCAAGATGGCATACATGATTCTCCTGCTGCTCATTTCATCAGTTCAGCAATCCTGTGAAGTAGCAACTGGCCCAAGGCCACCAGCTTAATTTGATGGCTGAGCAGGGATTTGAACTTCCTCAGTCCTCGTCAGGCATACTAGCCTGTCTACACTGCACTGGCTGTCTTCCTCAGAGTAGGCCTTGAGTCTCATCTAGCTCAGTGCCTTCCATTTCTGCTGCTGGGTGTTTTCATCTCTGCTGAATGAGGAAGGAGGTGTGATATCAGGCATTAGGTTCCACTGATCCTGTGTATGTATAAGGATGTGGTAAACGTTTGCCAGAGTTAAGCATTACTCTTCATCTATTTTTCATGCAGTGACTGCTCATTAGTGAACTTTCTGTGAGTTAACTGGTCTTGTGAATGCCACGAGCCATCTAAAGCGCAATATGTCACGGTGGAAGGGAAGGGGAGAATTGTTACTTACTGGCTGAGGAGGACCTCCCTGCCCCTTGATGTCAGGGAGAAACATTAACCATGTCGCTTCTTCGTTGGCTGTTCTTGGTTGCAAATTATTCTGAGATCCTTTGCTATCTCTTTATGCAAGTAAAAAGTAGGGGAGCGGGGAGGAACTGAGTTTGTCTTCTCTCCCCTTCTTGGACTATTCAATTTAGGGTCTCAGATGCAGTGTCCCTACAGCATCTCAGGAAGGGACCTTTTCCCTGGTACTTTCAGTTCAAGTCTTTCTGCAATAGGACCATTTGCTTCCCTCTGACCTTTCTGCATCTCTGTGCAAACCATTCACCAGGAGCTGGAAACCTGTGATCCTTCAGTTACTGTTCAATGCAAAATAAGTGCTGGCCAACATGCCAAACTGCCCACGATGATTGGAGTTGTAATCTCGCATCTGGAAGCTCGCACATTCCCCACTCCTACAGTTCATGATCTGCTCCACAGATGCAAAAGATTCTATCATCCTCTATGTAGTCAGTAAGTTGTGCAACAAGCCATGCCCTTATCTCAAAACCGAATTCCATGGCTACTTGCTTTGTCTTCTTTGATTCTGAAACCCACAAAATATTTTTGGTCATGCTTAAGATTCTTTAATCACTGTTCCACCTTTCAGAGTTTGCATGTTTCTGCTCATCCGCAGCACAGCTCCGGGTAGGGTAAAGATTCTAATTCATGTTAGTGTTTATGAGCATTGAATCTAATTAATGTAGATCCATGAATCCATTATAAAATGTATGGATTTGGGAATGAGAGCACGGCCTGGCTGTTTCTTGGATAGCATTTAAATATTTTTAGCATTCATACTGCATGTCCAAACACTTCACATGGGTGTTAAGACATTTTCTTAAAAGAAAATGGTACTTTTGAAATGGTTCTCCTCTGGAATTTGGTATGGCCTCAAACAAAGGCAGACTCTGTCTAGTCCCTCTTTCTAGTTGTTATTGAGAACAAATCTGAGGTGGAACTTGACAGCACAAAGCATATTCCAGACTCAGGGAGAAGGAACCGTGCAATCGGTGTGACAAAAGCGAGAATAAAACAGGGGAAATGTTTTCTGTTGCAGTGTCTTGAATATATGGAAATGTGTGGAAAAGCCCTGAGAGACCGTGAAAGACTTCATTAAAAAAAGTGCAGGGGGTGGAGACACACATGCCTGGCCCTGGGAAAAGATTTAGGAGCAAAGAAGAGATGGCACTGGGCCACACTTAGCCCAGGCTGCTGCTGGATCAGCAGGCTGCTGGAGCACAGCCTGGGGAAATGCAATACGCGTGCTGGCCAAGGTGTGCTTGGGTGGCAGGCTGGGACAGCCAGTCGCAGCAAGGGCCCGCACCAGCAGCGTGGAAGTCATTGCCCGGGTGGGCCACCCTGCTCGGGAGCCATGGTGGAGCCGAATTGCTGGCTCCTTTGTGGCACTAGAGGGTGCTCTCCTCCTGGATGGAGAAGAGCAGCGGGGCATTCCCTCCCTCGAGTCAACAGCCGTGCCCCTCGTGCAGCTGACGTTTGGACAGGGATTCACGAGGGAATGCTGCTCCCGTTTCTCTAAAGCTGGCAGTGCAGAAGTCCTGCAGTCCTGATTGTCAAGCAAAGAAAAACAGGTCAACCCCCATCCTCGCCCCTCAGGTTTGAAGAGGGGCTGGTAGACCTCCTCAGGCAAGGTGAGCAATGGCAGAACTGCCCCACAGGGGCATAGGGCAGCAACGCTTGGGAGGAAAACCTTGGTCATTTGACCCATGAAGCTCCGGTCCACAGCTCCTGTTAGGCATTCTCTGGCACACCCTTCCCTTCCCTGGCACCCTCCTGGCATCCTGAACTGCAAGACCCAGGAATCCTAGCCTAGTTCAGGCTGCTGGGAATGGAACTGAAAAGCATCTGAAGAACACCAGGTTGGGGAAGGGGCAAGATGCTTTTTGGCTTGGTTATCCAACTCTTAGCTGTATTTTTAAGAATTGAACAATGAGAACAAATTCAGTAAGGACCTGTCCTGGATCCCAGACACTTTGCGGCCCCTTCATCAGGCTCTGGGTGGCAACTGACTGAGCATGTCAAAGAGCAAAGACAGGGAAGCAACTGGGAAGTGGTTCCTTCCGCCTTCCCTCTATTTGGAGGAGGCAAAATTTCTCCCAAGCCTGAGCTTAACAAGCAAAGGAAGGCACATATTATGGGCTGCCACACACACATTCCTGCTGCTCTTGTGGTTTCCGCTGGCTCACTATTTTCTTGGCTCTGGCGAGTGATGTTGCGGAGCAGTGGAGACATCCCACCCCGGAGCCTGCTGTGCTCCTCTGCGCAAGGACTTCAAGGGCGTGCTTGCCTTTGTGGACAAGGCGCAGCATGCTCCAAATGTGTGATCTGGGAGCTTTATTTGGAGTAGCAGGCCTAGAGCTGCTCTAGTTCACGTAAAAGGGCAAAAGAAGAATACACATGACAACCACATGTAAGGGTTGAGTGTGGATTATCATTAAATCCTGGATGGCTGATGAAACATGGGTTATCTTGTTGTCTAAACCTACCAAAGATAGCAAACCATGGGGAACTTATAAAGTTCTCAATCCAGCAGGAAACCATGGAATCTTTTTGTGGGTTGTTGATGATTAGCAAGCCATCACTTATTAGTGAAGCATACCCAGGTTTCAAGCAACAACCCACTCAGCCCTTGAGTCAGACCTATTGCACTGTGTGAACCCAGTCACCGATTAGAGTTTCTCAATCCTTGGCTCGCTATCTCCCAGGAAGCAGAGACCCACCACATACCCATGATCAACACCCAAGCAATATCCAAAATAAACCAGACTTCCAAATAGAAGCATCTCCTTTCAGGAACCATTCCTGTGCAATGGCGAGGGATAGTTTAAAGAAGCGGCATTCATTTTCATCACTTGTGCCAAATTCTCAAGGCAGCAGCAGTGGGATGATCGTTACCCCACCAATAAAATAAATATTCACTCAAAGATTTTTGTTTTGATAAACTCTTGTCCTGGGTACATACAGCCCAGCCTGTGGAGGAGAGAGCAGGCTGGAAAAGATTCTGCTCAGTTACAAAGCAGGCTCGGGCTGCAGCACTTCCATGCTGAGTGATCCTAGAGAGGAGGGCTGCCTGCCATTCAGGGAAAAGAGCTTGGCCTTTGCCAAAAGCAGGACAAGGCCAGCTGGGGCTGGTGGACCACTGGCCCAGCTCAGGGTGAGGCAGTTCCCTATGACCTTAACACAATACTCAGTCACAAAGGACAGCAGGAGGAGGTTGAGGAGACAAGGGGAAGGAGCAGTAACTGTGCTGTGGCTCAGCCGTTTTGTTCCTGCTCCGTCCCTCAGCCCACAACTCTGCTGCTTCCCACCACAGACGCAGCCCTGTTCACCTAGTTGCAGCCCTGCTGAGACTGGATGTCAGAAAGCTTCAAAATTGCAGGCTCGGTATTTCAGACCTCACTCCAAGAAGGCTTGCTACAGAGGCCCACCCAGCCTTTTCGGAGATCATGAAGCCAGTATCGACCGAGAAGCTTGCAGCCAAAGAAAAGAAGACACCCATGAACATGCCTCTGTTGAGAAAAAGAACATAGCAGCAGAAGGCCAAAGGCATTTTAAGGCTCCCGTGTGGAAAGAGGCGTGAAAGCAGTGGGTGAGAAGGGGCCGATTCCCTTCCACTACCCTGACCCTCTCCCGGTGAAACCTGGCCATGAGAGAGGGAGGGGGAGAGGCTCAAGCATGACAGCTCCTGTCGTCTACCGTGGCCACAGCTTGGCTTTGGTAGGCGAGTCTCACTGACTTCATGACAAGGAGCAGAAAGACGGGACAAGGAGATGGCTCTGTGCTGCTCCGGAAGAGCTGGTGAGGAGAGCTGAAGCCCAGCCTGGCAGATGGCATCATCTGTACTGAACTGCAGAGGGAGCGGAGGTGGCAGGTGCCCTCCATTGCACGTGGTCTCCAATTTCGGGTCACATGGGAGATGGGAAGAGGCAAGGCCTTGCCGGGCATAGGGGGTGGGGGTGATCTCGACTAGACGCTGCTGCTGGGATTCTCACTGGAGAGCCAAAGAGGAAGAGCCACTCATGGATGGGGCACAATACACAGCCAGCCAAAACTCTTTGGAGGTCTCGCTCACAGCTGAGTCTCCTTAAAGACCAAAGCAACGGGAAGCAGCAGCAACGAGCTGACTCCCAACACACAATGCAAGACACTCGTCCGCTTTCTCCGTGTATCTTTTAATGTTGAGGTAAAACTTTTTGGTTTTCCCTTAACAGAAGCAGGGCTCCAGCTCAGCACCAGCCACGTGTGGATGGAGCCTGGCGTTCCCACCGCCCCCCGGCCTGCTCTTCTCCACCAGGCAATTCAGAAAATGTGTCCCCCAGCCCACTCCGCTGCTCAGCGCTTGCTCCTCTCCAGGGCAGTACCTGCAGGCTGAGCAGCTCTCCCCTCCTGCTCTACCACCTATCCTACGGAGACAAGTTTCAGCAGCATTTTTCCTTACTACAGCAGCTCCGCCAGACCCACCATGCTCCTCCCTAGACCTGTGCCCAGGACTCCAGCTGCAGCACCGTGGCTCATCTCTCCTTCCAACGGGAGAGCCACGCACACCCTCCCCAGTCCTGGCAGCCAAGATCCAGGGCTCCCCAAAAAGAAATGCTGGATGTGGGTATTCCGCCCCTTTGCCCCTGCCCTTTCCTGTACCCACGCCCCACCCTCCAGTCCAGCCCTTTAGGCAGCTGTTCCAAGGCACCATTTCAGCTCCTGGGTTGGAGGAACTTTGAGACGGACCAAGTTCAAGGGTGGCAGGGAAACGGCAGGCCAGGCCAGGCCTCTGGCCAACTGGAAGGTGGCCCTCTTTTCCAGGAGTCCTTCTGTCTGTGAGCAGAAATACTCTCGGTAGGGAGAAGGGTCCCCCTGCCTCTTGAAGGGTCAGTGGCACAGGTGGGAGAGAGGTAGGACAGTCTCTTAAATAATAGGTCTGCTACATCACTGCTAAATAAAGATACAAAGAAAACAAAACACCAAGAGGCTGACGGCTCCTGCTTCTCTTTCGCTGCCTATTGCACCCTCTCTCCCACTCTCTCGCAGCCACACAGATTCCAGTTAGAAGCAGCCTAGTGCAAACAGGCCAGAAGAGAGAGAGTTATCAGCAACTGGAGGCCCAGGGTACAGGAGAGGCAGGGTCCACCGCCTGGGGGGTTCAGCGGCACCTCGCATCCTTCGCCGTACCACCCCTGGTAGCAGTGGCACTGGAAGTTCTTCTCCAGGAAGGCCTTGTCACTGTGAGACAACTTCCCCCGGGGCATGAGCAGGGGCTTGCCCTCGTTGCGGTAGATCTGGAAGCTGGCTGGGTTGAGATGCAGGAACACGTTGGCATCGCTGTCCTGGCGCACGCAACGCCCGTGGCTATTGCACAGAGTCTGGCTGCAGAGCTTGGCTGCGGTCGTCACGTTGATGATATAGTGGCCGAGGTCCCCCTCTATGTAGTTTTTAATCGTCTGGCAGGTTTCCTGCAGGGGGGAGGATGGACAATGAGCCACAGCTCCCAGGAGGCGGAAGAGCAGGCCCAGCGGCTCAAGGGCCAGACTATTTATGCATGTATTTATGTATCTATTAATTAAAAGCTTTTCTATCCCGTCCCCTACAGAACGTCTCGGGACGGCTTACAATAAATAAGAGAACAGAACAGCTCCACAGCAGCCCCATACTAGCAGGTATGGGGTGAAAGTGGGCTGCGAAAAGGCCCCCCGCTATCATTTTGCACCAGGACTCCAATGAGCATGAGTGAAACAGTTGATGGGAAATATCAGTTAAAAAAGAGAATATGAAGGAGGGAAGGAGGGAGGGAGAGCCACTCTCTACAGTTCAGGTTCTTGGTGAATGAGGGCCCAAAAGCCTAGCCCTGCGCATTGTTACTTAGAGGACGATTGCTCTGATTTCAGTGAGACTTGCTTCCAGATTAGTATAGACAGAATTTCTGCCTTTGTCAGTATTGTTCTATTTTCTATTCAGCAATGGAGACTTGACTTAGCACGTTTCTATCACACCCTTCATCCAAAATAGTGCCCAGAGTGGCAAATGTGCAGGGCTCCTAGGTGGTCCCCCACTCAGACACTGTCCAGACCCAGCTGGATCATGCTTCCAGCTGGGTCGGGTAATTACTGCAGGCTGCCAGAGATGGAAGCGCCAACCCTTTGCTAGCCCTGACTGCTACTTCACATATTCACGGGGAGTTTGGAAGAACGGCTCTCCATCATCCCAGCTTCTGCCGCAGCTCTGCTCAAGATCACAGGCAGGAGGAGGACTGTTGAGGGCAGCCTTTGAGGGCAAACAAAAGGCAGTGCCGGCTGCTTGACAGCGCTTCCATTCTCCTCCAGCTCCTTGGAGTAAGCTAGTTCTTCCCTAGCACAGAAGGATCTTGCACAGCAGAAATCTGGAGATAGCTCAGCGTGGTGTCCCTGCAGGTGGCCCCTGCAGCTCCACATCACTTCCTCAAACATGGGCAAAGAAAGGAGGAGTTGGCCACTCTAGAGGCTTGCCAAGGTTGATTTTGCTTGAAAGCCCATTTTTACTGAACATTTGTTTTGCGTGGCCAGTGGAGGTGGGCTAGTGGAGTGGCCCCAGATGACCTGAGGATGCACACCTTTGGACTGGAGCCTACGTAGCCTCTGCCTCCCATATTAAACTCCAAGCTGCTTCTGGCCATGGTACTCGGTGGATACAACAAGGGATTATCTGTGTTGTGAATGCTCTGTACTCGTGGCATGAGCGTCATAATGGCAACCAGCTCAATCCCATCCTGGAAGGGCCAATGAGACCCCTGTTGGGACTTAAACCCCCTTGAGCAAACCGATCAGCTTTCAAGGAGGAGAATCTTTGTGGCTCTCTGAGTGAAAAGCAATTAAGAGTCAAATCCCAAAAAGCTATTAAGAGTCTTCCGTCAGCACCCGCCAGCATGGTCAAAGGATCAACTGGAGGGACACAGGCTGGGGAAGGCTGCTGAGACCGGGGGTCACGTCCAGTGTCTTTGTCCACACACCTCTCGCCATCCTTTCCTAGCCATATCACAAGACTGATTGTCTTGCCCACTCTCAAATCCCCTACAAGGATCTTCTCACTCTTAGACAAAACAAACTGGAAGAGAGCACCCCAAGAGGGTTTCCGGCTGAAGCAGACAAGACCCAACAAGCTCCTGAGGGGAGGGAGAGCAGTGCACGTCTAAACAATCCCTGGGAAAACAAGCCCACTCCAGGCTTGTCTGTGCATGAGGCTATGCCGAGCGGGGAAGGGTGGGGGCAGGAGTCATACATACCCGGCTTCCAGTGTTTTCCGACTCTGCCCAGAAGATAGCTCCAGCTGCCCCTAGGGCAGCACTCTCCCCAATGGTGGAGATCAAGTCCATCTGGAAGGAAACATCCAAGCAGATCCCCAGTTATCACCGATGCACGACATCAAGAAATTAGGAAAATATCCTGCAGCTTGGGAGGGCTCTAAGCCAGCCGTCTCCAACTTGACGCTCTTGGGCAGTTGTGGAAAGCTGAGATAAACCTTTCCTACTGCTGAACTACCACTGTTCCTTAAAAGGGAAGGGGAAAATACATTTAACACTGATGTCAGCCTTAAAGTGCAACAGAAAGCTCCAACTCACTATTCTGTTCCCAGAAAGGAAGCCACATTCGTCTTTGGCAGCAAAAAAACTTATTTATTCTGGCATAAGTTTTGGGGACACTCTTCACGTCATCAGATGCAACAAGTATGTCTGATAAAGTGGGTGTTATCCATGAAAGCTTATCCCAGAATATCTGTTCATCTTTATGGTGCCACAGGCTCTTTGTTGTTTTCATTTCCAGCCATGTATTGCCAGGCAGAAGCAATATGTCCTTCAGACCGGCCAAGCAAAAGCAGGCAAAAGCCTTACCTGCCAGCCTATGGGTTGGAGCTCCTTCATGACCCTGCAGGAAGTAAGACTTTTGTTTCCTGTATAGGGACATTCCTACAGGGTGGCACAACATTGCTCAACTACAGTGATAAAGAAAGGATGGCAAGTACGCTGTACTTGGAGATGCAGAATCAACCTCGCCCAGTGCCTTCCAGATGTCTTAGACCACAGCTCCCATCATCCCCAGCCGGCATGCACAACAGTCAACAGGTTGGTCCACATGACTAAAGAGATGCTTGCATGCTCATTGCACGGCATGTTGGTGAATTCTGAACAGTAGCCTCCAGCAATCTGCAGCGCAGCATCTGCTTTCTGGGAGCCTGGGGGGGAAACACAGCCTGCCCACCCTGCACATTGCAGTCACCTTATACCACCCTCCCTCCCACAACCTGATACCCTGTTCGATGGGTTAGACAGGGGTCCTCAAACTTTCCCACCGGGGGGCCAGTCGAAAGCCGCCGGTGCTGGGCACGGGCCGGAAAGGTGGGGCCGGCGGTGCGCGCAGGTCGGTGCGGGCGGGGGCTGTGCGCGTGGGTGAGCACGCTGGGGGGGGGTGGCGGGGCACGCGGCGAGGTGAGGTGCAGGCGGGTGGGTGCGCCTGGCGAGGGGAGGCAAGGCGGGGCGGGCATGCGCCGTGAGGCAGGCACACGAGGCAGCGGCTTGCTCGCTTGGAGATCATTTTCTCTGAGCAAGCAAACCGCTGCCTCCCCGCACGCGGGGCGAGGTGGGCGGTGGCGGGCGCGCACATGGATGTGGGCACACGCGCGGCGGGTCCAAATGGGCATGGCGGGCCAGATAATCTGGCCCCCGGGCCTTAGTTTGAGGACCCATGGGTTATCCTGCAATTCCCATCATTCTCAGCTGACTAGGAACTATGGGACTTGCAACCCGACATATCTGGGTAGCACTGGGTTGGCTGAGCCTGGCGCAGGCATTCCATGGGACGCAATCCTGTGCTGGGGCTGGCATTTGGCCTTCTTGAGGAAAGCCCCGCATTCTGCCAGGACAGAGCAGGAAGGGTGTGGACAGGCTGCCCTCAATGAACAAAGCAGCAGAGCTGCTGACAAGAATTAGAGGCTTGGCGGCAGCCTGGAAACAAGGAAGGTCGGAATCAAAGAGGTCTTTTTTCCCTCCCGGAGGAAGACCTTTGCTGGGTGGTTTCAGGAGAAGGACGGGGTGGGCGCCCACCTCTCTACTTTCCCTCTTCCCTTTAGCTGGCCTTTGTTCTCCACTCTGCCCTCTGGGCAGGCTGAGCAGCAGCCGTTCTGGCCCTGCCAGCTCTGGGCCGGCCACCTGGTGAGGTGGTTAGGCCGGGCCAGAGAGCTGCTTTCGCTCCCAAGGAGGGGGGCGGGTTGCTGGCTCTTCCTAGTGCCTCAGTGCAGAGACTGTGTGCTTAAGCGCACCCAGAAGCCACAAGACACTTCAGAGATCGCACTGCTTTCTCGAAACTTAACTATGGTTTTGTGGCAAGGCCACACCATTTGTCAAGATGGGGGCGGAAGGGCCTGCTGAGGGCAGCATCAGAAGTGACCAGTATCCAGGAGTGCCCGGCTCTCATCTGGAGAGAGCCTGGGGCTTGACAGTGAGATGAGACGCTTGATCCACTGTGAAAGAAAAAAGAGGCAAGCTCCATACAGGGCATAGTCAGCCAGTGTGGTGTTGCGCTGAGGAGTGCAGGACTGGGACTCAGGAGATCTGGGTTCCAGTTCCTGCTCAGCCATGGACCTCACTGGGTGACTTTGGGCCAATTGCAAACTCTCAGCCCATCCTACCTCACAGGGTTGTTGTGGAGATAAGATTGAGAAGAGGAGAAATATGTACATCCAAGTTTCTCGGAAGGAAAGAAGGCAGAGTATAAACATAAGAAATAAATAGACAGAAAAAGACGTAGAAAATAAAATGCCCAATTTGTATTGTCCATCTACAATTCTATGGGATGACCTGCATGTTTAGTTGGTACTGCACCACAAAAGGGATATAGTGCAAAATGGGAAACCACAGAGAAGTGGGCAAGTGGAGCAAACAAGGGGCTGCAGCAACTCCTCTATGAGGAAAAGCTACAAAGTTTAGGCTCTTTAATTTAGAAAATGCGTTAGTTCTTTAGCTGTAAAAATGTGGTTTTAAATTTTGTACTGTAATGCCATGATATTTTATTATTGTTTTATTCTACCCTGTACTGATTACTGTGCTTCACTGCTCAGAGAGTTTCAGGTACTGGGCAGTGTAGAAATTAAATGAAGAAATAGAAAAGGCAAGAAAATAGAGATGATAGATGCACAAAATTATGCATGGTTTGGAGGAAGCAGAGAGAGCCATTTTTCTACTTCTCTGTGATATCTGAAGCTGAATGATGGGAGATTCAGGACAGATAAAGGGAAGCACTTCTTCACACAGTGCATAGTTTAACTACAGAATTCATTTCCACAGGATGTATTGCTGTCCACCAGTCTGGATGGTTTTAAAAGGGAACTGGGTAAATTCATGGAGGAGAAGGCTGTCCATGGCTACTAGTCCACATGACTATGTGCAGCCTCCAGTATCAAAGGCAGCTGCTGGTTTGTCTTGCAGCATCTTACAAGACAGTCATCTTGGGAGACCTCTGGCCCACCAGCTATGCTCTACTTGCGAGGAAGCTCAGCTGGCCCACTGCTACCAAGCCTTTGATGTGCTTCCACAAAGACTATTTTGCCCTTTAGCCAAATTTAGGTTCCTGCCCCTGTACTGCTATTTCACTTACAATGACTAGGTTCAGACAATACAATGATCCACACTCAAGGGCTGAACATGAGCTGAAGGTGGCTTGTTGTTGTTGTTGCTGTACCCCCCCTTTTTAAACAGAACATAAATACAATTGAAATACAAATATATATTCTTCAAAATATATCAATAATATTAGCATCTAAAGTGACAATAAACACAGTGCACCCACTCCCCAAGAGACCAGTTGGTATTTCACTTCATATATTGTAACAATAAACAGTATATAATGTACTTTAATTATACCCATATCCCCTCCAAAAATTCATATATTCTTGATTAGGCTTACAGCCTTTCCCTTCCATCAATACTGCTTTTACTAAATCTTTCTGTATTTTATTATATTTATTTACTTTTATTATCCCTTTTTTGATTTTTATTTCTGTTGTCAACTTATCATTAACAACCATATTCCAAGGTGGTTTGTTGTTGAACCATAGCCTGCTGTGTTGTTTGAACCCAACTATGCTAACAAGCCATGGCTTGTTAACCATGAACAACCCATGAAGACAACCTATGCTTCATTGTTGAGCTGTCCACTGTGAATTCTTCACCATGCTTTGTTATCTTGTCCCGGTTCAGACAATACAATATCCCATGGCTCAACAACAATCCACACTCAACCCATACGAACCTTTCTGAATGTGGGTAATCATGTTGACTGAACTCAGTCACTGCTTACTTTCACAGCGATCATTTGTTAACCTGCATGACTTCCAAGCAGCAAAATAAAAACCTCCATTCACTCAATTCATGGGAAAAACTATCCACATACAGAGGAAGAGCTCCATTTGAGGCCCCACCACTCACACTGCCTATTGTGTTTTTTTTTTTCCCCAGAATGCTCAACGGTGAAGCTGCTCTTCCTTTTCATTAGAGGATGAACACAAAACTAAAGCAAACATGGATGAACAAGAGATTGTACTTTCCTCTGCTTTCCAAAAGGGAGGGAGGGAGGGAGGGAGGGAGGGAAGAATGGTAGGGTGCCAAATCAAGCAAAAGGATGTTTTAACTGTTGAAAGCTGACTGCCCAGCAAATGTAGGCAATTGTGGCCCTTCAGAAGTTTTGGTCAATAAATTCCACCATAATCAAATTCCAGCATAATCAATGGTGAGGGATATTGTGGCCCTCCAATTGTTTTGATCTACAAGTTGCCCAGCCCTTCTCCAGTTTAAATTTAATTTTTTGTTTACAGCACTTTTCCCCATCACCCTCATGTACACCAAGGAAAGACAGAAAACAGTCCAGTTCTAATCCAATATGCAGCTCAGGGATCTCAGAAATGTGCAGATCATTAAAACAGAAAGAAATCTGCCCCTAGGCCTTCGACAGCCTTTTCTCAGAAGCACAGAAAGGACAGACAGGTTATGATATTACTTTTATGTCCCATATTGCATCTCTCCTGCCAGAAATGGCATGCGCTTGACCACCACCCACAGTACATGCATGTACAGTCACAGCTTTCCCAGAAAGGTCTTTCTCCAGGTTTGGAAGGAGCTCTGGAAGTTTCCCTACACTGACTCAGAAAATTGGTCCATTTGACCAAACTTTGTATTGGTCCGCACAAAAAAGCAGCAGCTTTCCAGGGTTTCAGACCAAAAGAGTTTGATCCATCCCTGGGCAAGGGTTGAACCCTTCCGCATGTAAAGCGCATGGCGTCGTAATACACTGCAGCCCCCTTCTGAATGTTAAGGCAGAAGAAAGAAGGCGGGTCATTTATGCTTTAGGCACCATCCCCACCATCAGACTTGGGGAGGCATCTGTTCTACCTTGCAGTGTTAGCAAGCGTCAGGCCCTAACTTGGGAAAGTGCAGAGGCAACACGGCTTGCCTTTCAGTGCACGTTTACACCCTGAAAGGCTGGCATGGCATCCTATGCCAGGGTGTCACAGAGGATGACTCTGAAGCATATGTGCTCTTCCATCCGCATAACCTGGGCCACCCAAACAGTTCCCCTTACTGTGCCTCAGCAAACCACAGCAAGTCCACCAACAGGAACACTTTGGAGCATCGTTGCTCGTGTGTTTGTGTATTCAGCAATACCAACTGGATGAACCCAGGGGCTCTCTCCCTAGCATTTAGGAAAGCCCTTAGGAAATGTGCCAGGCTAATTATTCTGAATGAACTACAAGTGAGTTAATGACACCACTTTCTCATGGCCAGACCCTGATAAGACACACAGAAGCAGCTGGCTCCTTCACCTCCCCCACCCCGCCACAAGACCTCCTAGAATTTTAGGATGCCCATCGTATCTGTTTTAGGCCCTAAATCAAGGTATTGATTTGTCCTACCCACCTCCCCCCTTTGGACAGCAAACTGGGGCATGTATTAAGACCCTGTCTTTGGCTTGGGCATCACAAACTGAGCAGGTCTGCCCTACAGATGCCATTTTAAGTAGACCAGGTATACACCCCAGTTCCTGGATAGCTGCTCCCAATTCCTGCACGAAGGACTTGCACGCTTACCTGGCTTAAGACAGCCTGTTTGCGGAGATAGGTTGGCCTCGTGTAGACAAAGATAGGGAGCATGTACTTGTCGTGATGCTGCTGGGAGATGCGAAGAGCCTCCTTTACCCGAGAGCGCACAAACCTGTGCCCATTCGTGGTGTTGGCCAATATGTCCTCCAGGTAGATGGACGGGTAGAGGGCAGTGCTCTCCTTCCAGAGCCAGGACAGGTAGTCGTTGCGTGTCTTCTCGACATCAGGACACTCACCCGTATAGCTTTCCTGGTTCTTGCTGTAGTCACGGTTATAGCAGTCTGGAAAGAGGTAGTAGCCCCACAGTTGCTGGGGACGGAAGTTTTTGGCGTGCCGCAGGGTCTCCTTCATGAATTCCGACGCTGATGTCTCAAATTCATACTGAGCCGCCTTTTTCACTTGGGCCTCTGGCAATCCAGGGCGCCGGGTCAGCACGAGCTGACAAGAAGCATTGCGGTAGATGTCTTTCGGCACCCAGTTCCGGATCCAGATGGGTCTCCACTCTTCCCAGTCAATGATGGCCAGCCCCTCCTTGGTTTCAGAGCGGATGTATTTCTTGATGCCTCCACACAAGTGGGCCAGATGCTGCTTCAGGCTACTGTTCTGTGGGACGCCTCCATTCACAGCCACTTTCTGCTCATCATAATATGGATAGAGGCCCAGGCGCTCCCTATAGAAAATGGTCACATCCTGGTCCACATAGCCCTCGTTGGGCGAGGCATGCACATCAAAAACACTGAAATCCAGCTGGACCTTGAAGCGAGGCTCACAGTCCTGGGTTGGCACATTCCAGGCCACCATGAAGGGCTGCCGGGTGAAGATGGGGGTAAAAGCGGGCTTACTGTACTGCCCTGGGGCACCAGCCGCAACCAGAAACAGGAGCCATGTTGCTGCCAGCACAGTGCTTGCCTGCATCCTCTCCAAGCTGTCTGAGGACGAGACAATAGCAAATCGCAAAGAGAACAAGGCCTGCAAAGAAGGAGAAGAAAGGGGAAGGGACGAGATAAGTGCTGCTTATACTAGAACAAGGGGGAAACACCGTGCTGCTCAGACCACAGATGCTTGTTCTGGTCAGTAGTACAGACTAATGCTAACAATTTCCACTACTTCTTCAATGAATCCCTCAATCAGGATAGGACCTCTCATTTCCTATCAGCAACAAGCTTCAGTCTTTATTGTACTCAAAAATTGGGTTGGAGAGAGGAAGAAACTGGAATTCCTGGTTTGTAGCTCAGAAAGATGCCCAGAGAGTGAATGAGAGAGTGATCAGACCACTGACTTAAACTAATATACATAACAGTTATGGTAGTTCTAAAAAAAATAATAATGAGTGCTTATGTTACCATTTGGAACCCCAAAATCTCTTCACTAGGATATCCCAACAGACAAGGTCTCTCTCTTTTTCCAACAGTGGCATCAATTTCCAAAGCTCTGCTCTAGCAACCTGCAGTTACTCATCTTTTTACAAGCCGGAGGCTCAGAATAGTATGCAAAGACAAAGCTTTGCAAAAGCATAACAAGCACTAGCAAAGAAGCTGCAGGGAGCAGCAGAGATGAATCCTTTTCCCTGGAGCTTCAAGCGATTCTGTATGCAGTGACACGTGTCTGGAAAACCAGCATGTTTATTTAGCAGCCTGTCAGCATTAAAGACTTCCTATAAAGGCAGTAATTTTGAAAGACACCACACACACCCCTTCTTGCTTTTTCACTGTTGAAGGTCCCTTCAGCAGTATAACCCTAGATTAAGTCATGCTCAGGGAGAGAAGGCTATTACACAAACTTCAGATTCCACAGACGCTCCTTTGGCTTCAGCAGGTAAATGGGGAAGTAAACAGAAATGATGTTAAACCATCCCAAACCCGCCTGAGGAAGCTTTTCATTAAGAAAGCCACACAGCAGAGAGAGCCTCAGTGCTGACTCCAGGAGAGATCATTTTGACAGGCCTGCCTGTCACTGCCCCAAGCCTTGAGCCATTGTAGAGAATGTACAGTAAGATGGTTCTTTGCATAAATCAGAGAAACAATAGACAGCCAGCTGTTTTAAAAACTGCCTGCCTTGAACTGCAGTAAGATTTTCCCCCAAGTAACAAAGCACCGAACTCCAGTTTTGCTTATGGAGGAAATCATCCTTTGTTCTAAAACTTCATATTCTCTGGCATGGTTCTTAAAGAAGTGTATCTGCATGTTGTGTTGGGTTTAATTGTTTTCACAGAAAACATTCCGGGGGAAAATGTTTTTGAAATGAAAAAGAAATGAAAAAGGAAGAAGCCCCTATCAAGTAACATTTCAGAGGAAGAAGTGGGGAGGAAATGTGGATGTCAGCAATTGCAGAACTGGCAATTGCAGAACTGTCCACACAAGGCTACTCTTAAGGACAATTACAGGAACAACCAGAAAACACTGCAGCAGGTAGCAGCAGGGCCGGCTGGGGAAAGATCGCCGAAGAACCGGAGAGGAGCCCTGAAGGGTCGGACCACGCGTCCAGCATGCGGCTCACTCAGCGGCCGGCAGCCACGGGAAAGCCACAAGCGGGGCACGAGTGCAGGCGCCCCCTCCCGCCCGCGCTCTCCAGCGACCGGGCTGCATCGGGCACACTGCCTCTGCCGCCGGAGGGAGCCCAGCGCCAGCAGGACCGACAGCCGCCGACAGCCTTCTGCTCCCGGAACGGCGGTCCTCCAAATGGGAACGGAGAAAAGCGACGGGCTGACTCAGGCCGGGTCAGCAGGGCAGCGAGCCGCGCTCTTCCATGTGCTGGGACAAATACCGATTCCAGCATCCCGAGTGCTCCTGAGCAAACACGAATCCTTCCAGCGCGGAAGCCTCCCGCACGAAACAAGCCGCCGGAGCCCGCGGTGCTCGGCCAAGCTGCAAAGCAGAATCCTCGCCGCAAAATATTCAAGCGGTGCCCGAAGGAAGGGGCCGGGGGGGAAATAAGTTCAAGAAGGAGGTATTTACTTTCCATCCGCTGGCTCGGCTTCCTCGAAGGGCATTTCACCAACTAGGAGGCTTGCCAAACCAAGCAGGGAAAGGGATCTTCAGTACAGCGGGAAACTTCGGCTTGCACGGATGCGCTAGAAGACTCGAGGAAGACACCGTTCCGCGCAAGGAACCACGTTAGAAGTACTTTAGGAAAACCCACCCTGAGCACGCACACACGCACGCACGCCCGGGCTCCCCTCTCCTTCCCGATCGCTTTCTCAACTTCAGGCGCTTCTTGCCAGTCAAACTCTCCTCCAGCCCGGAGTAATTCGAGGCAGCTTCTCCATCTTTCTTTCCTCCTCCTTGTTTGAACAGCCCTACAAGAATTAAAACCACGCCGGAGTTTTCTCTGCAACAACTCACCTGGATTCGTAATCACCCTCCTTGCCAGCTTAAGTACAGTATCCTCCCGGGCACAGAGCAGTTCCTTCTTAAAGGGCACATGAGCCCAGTACCACCCACCCTCTTCTCCGGCTACTCAGCTTTTCCTTTAAAAGATTCGAGTGAGAGACGGTCCGACAGGGGGGGCCGTGAGCCCGCAAGGAAGAAGGTCAGCCGATCCGACTTTGAGTACAGTCTTTCAACTGAGAAAGAGCCTGAGAAGCGACGTATTTTTAAACGTTGATTTTTAACGTTCGTTTGCAAATGCTGCCATGGTCTCCCAAGAGAAGCCCGGTCCAGCCGGATCTGGATGGTCTCCCCCGCCTACAGGAACGATTTGGTACAATCCAGCTGTTTTTTTGTACGCCAAGTGTGGCTTGCCTCTTAAAGAAACACAAACATATTTAGCAGTCTGAGAGAATGGAATGTAATATGGTACAGGCAAGATGCCAACAAGTTCGCGGATTCAGTACAGCAAAGCCTGCTGCAATCGCCCCCGCCCCAGCTTGTGCAGCAAGAGGCGATATGTGGGGTAGAGGGATGCGGACTTCCAACTACCACAGCTATTCTTAGCATGGGATGCGCATAACTTTTCCTTAAACCAGAAATTGCAATGTCTGGTTTCTGCCCTGTAACTCATTTTCAGTGCAGGAACCCAGCACTGTGCAGAGTGCAGACAGGGTGCACAATATGTCTGCACTGAGGAGGCAGAGGTACTAGATCAGGGTGACAATCGGAATTTTTAGTGAGCACCTGCACACACATGCAAATGCTTTGGAGCACTTGGAATAATTTGCATCTATTATCTTAATAGCAACCCTGTAAAACAGCCTTTCCCAATCTTGGATCCCCAAATGTTGTTGGATGTTCCCATCTTCCCCTGGCCATGCCGGATGATCGGAGCTGCAGTTCCAGGTTTGGAGAAAACTGCTGTGAAGTACATTGTCTCAATTTTGCAGATGAATGACTGGGTTCAGAGAACAGCATAATCCATAGTCAAGGGTGGAGTATGGGTTAAATGAGGCTTATCATTCAACCATTGTTTCTGAAATGTGGGTTATCATGTTGTCTGCATCCAGCTGACATAACAAGCTATCATGAACAAACCACCATTCACAACCCAACAACAAACCATGGATTCTCATGGCTTTGTTAATTGTTGTTCAGGCAACATGATAACCCAGAATTCAATAACAATCCACACTCACTGCATAATCAACCCTTGATTTGTCTGAACCCAGTCAGAGAGTCTTGGACAGAGGAGAAATTGGAATCAGGGACTTCTTGGTTGATAGTCTGTTTGAAGGTAGTATACCACACTGATTCTACCTAGACTTGAAACTTTCTAGCTCCCAATTTAGAAATTAAGAACTTGTAATGTTGTAGACCAATCCTCCCCAACTAGTCCTCTCCAGATGTGCTGAACTACAACTCCCATCATCTCTGGCCAGGATAGGCACTGGTCCGCTGGCTAGAGGGAATGGGAATTGCTGTCCAGTATCTCTGGAGAGTGCCAGACTGGGAAATCCTGCTGTGAACAAAGGCAAAATTCCGCTTCTCCCCAGAAGTGTTGCTATAATACAGTAGAGGTGTGAGACGGGGGTGGCATTTTATTCATTCATTCATTTATTTACGGCATTTGTATGGCATCCTTTGCGGGAGACCCTCTGGCTCCATCTTATAAGGGGGAGGGATCATGAAGTCTCTGGCTATTTCACTCTGTACCCAGCTGGCCCTGTCAGGCAACTCTGGCGAAGATGCTAGAAGAACGTTTTGCAAGCAAGACGCTGAAAAAGGCCCACTGACTCCTTCCCACACCATTGTTGGTGGCAATTGATAGAAGGATTGACTTGGGAGAGCTGGCTCTATTATCAAGGCACAAAGCGGTTGTTATGTCCAGCGCTTGGAATCCCTCGGAGGGAGTGCTCATTTGATTATAGACTGCAGATAAATATCTACCCCAGGAGCTTTCGGTGAATGGCCATTGTCTTGTGAAGCAGCAACAGCCTCGCCTCACTGGGTGGGTGCAGCAGCAGCAGCAGCAGCAGCTCCCAGTGCTCCAGCAACAGGAGCGCAGGATTCTACCATTGCAAACAATCGGCACGAGAGCACTCTGGAGCTGTTCTGAAGTGCCACTAGAAATCTGAAGAAACAGCAGCACTCCAGAGCCAAGATGCCAAATGCCAGCATTTTGTTCAACAATTAAGCCTTGCTTGCTGCCTTGCTGCAGGCAGAGAAATGACCAGAAAGCCTAACAAGTAGCCAGTGGGGATTTTCCCATTTTGGGATCCAAATTTCATTGCTTCTCAAATCTTCTGTAGGACCTTCATCTTACTAGCCAGGATAGTGTGGTTTGCGATACCTGTGATGTCCCGAAGTCAAAGTGGATAGGATTTAGAGACAGGTGGATCGAGGGACAGATGCAGCTCATTCTGCATGTGAAACCAATCAGCACCCTAAGCCCACAGACATGGGGTGCTTCTGTGGAGGGAGGGAAGCAAGGCTGTGTGCAGCAGAGAGGTAGTATGCAGCCAGATCAGGCAAACTGCTGAAGTTCTGCTCAGAAAACAGCGGCAGCCATTCTCAGGCACTGATTCATTGTTCTCCTTATCTGATTCATAGACCTCCATTTTTCCAAACAGTGGCACTCAAGATGTTTCCCAAACAGGCCAGTCTAACCCGAACCGTCCAGTATGTCACTGTCACCCCTGATTGTCATGGGGCTCCTCTATGCTGAATAGCCTCTTCAGCCAGTGTGGCATTGGCTGGGCTACAGATTGCATTTTCCAAGAGAAGAACGGGACTGGCGTAAGGTCAGCTGCCCTGCAGACAAAGGGGCAGGGTGTGGTGGGCGATTCAGGACTTGCTGCCTAACCAGCTTCTGAGCAAATCAGCCTTTTCATTTCTAGACTTCACATAATCGCAAAGCAATTTTAGCTTCTTAGTTTGAACAGCCAAATCTGTCAGGAACTTCCCCTTTCTTCCTGTATAAGAAATGACCCTGGTTAGGCGTCACGTTAGAGTAACCACCCAGAGTCTACCCCTTATGGAATCAATTTTATACCCTTGCAAATGTCTGTGCCACCAGGGTGACCAAGAAAGTACAATGCTATCCAGCCCAGGACAATGGCAGCGACATTGCTAAATTCCCAGATCCTCACAGGATGCAGAGACATGTCCGCCCAGAGGCACTTCACAGAGGCATATTGTGTTCACACAGCTGTTAGAATGGCTCGCCTGTGTCTTTCTAGGAGAGATATGCTGTGGCACAAGGATCAAAGCTCTCATTCCCTCCCAGCAGGCAGTGCTCCTGTATCAGTAACAGTATGTTGGAATGCATGATTATTGCCTTGCAGTTCATTATGCTTCTTGAAGTGTTCCTCAGACCCTAGTTAAGAACAGGAATCTATGAGCCAGGAAGTCCCAAGCTTAATTTCCCCTCTGAGCCATTAATTCGCTAAGCAGCCTGATACAACATCAGTCTCTCGACATCAGTTCTATCTCTGTCCCCCACTCTGTCTGTCTGTCTCTTTGTCTTCCGTGGGGTTGTTAATATTTACAAGATTGTTGTAAGGATTACTGAAATAATGACTGCAATCAGTTTTTAAATTTGTGGGAATAAACTTGAAATGTACCATAAAAACACAGAATAAGCATGATATAATTCAACAAATGAATTTGAAGTTGACATTTGATAAATTTTAAATTTGTGAGTGATTTCATTTCAATCACAGTCCAAACTAGAATTTCAAATCTATGGGAAATTTTGTTTCAACCCCATGGGGCCTGGCCATGGAAGTCAAAACTTTCCGATACGCTGAACCCACTTCCACAGGAAGGTATAAGCAGGGTGTGTACTGTTGGAAGACGCCTAGAAGTTCCATCAGGTCCAACCCCTTGCTCAGTGCATGAGTCAAGTTTCCCATCCAGATTCTAACGAGGACTGACCTTGCTTAGCGTGTAAGATTTGGCAGTTCTCAGGAACGGTGTGTGCTCGCAAGTCAGAGATCAAGACGCCCGTCTTAGATTTGGGTGTGCTTATTCATTTTAGTTGCTGAAATGCACTATTTATTGCACTATTCCATTCATTATTCTTTAGGTGGCTTGCAAAAAAATAGCCAAAGTAACAAGAAAAACAATGTATAGGAAATAGTGGAGGATAAAATGCTAGATAAAGCGTGCTCTCCCTTGGCAGCGTTCTCTTCCTCTGCAACTGCATCTCATATTCCCAACTGATGGACATGCTGGGGAGGCACATATAGCGTGGGGAAAAGGGGCTGAAAATGAGTTGCAAACAGAATGGACTTCTGTGGCACAGAGATAAGCTGTTAGCCCTCCCACCCTTTCCCCCCTTGTGTTTCCCACTTGGAATGGCAAAACAGAAGAGGACTGTGGAAGATACAGCATCTTTGTTTCAGATCATCCTTCTGAGAGCGCTTCCAGGCTTTGTCATGTAATCGCCCTGCGTCCTTCATGCAATTTTTGGAACTGCAGACATCGTTGTCTTCTATTTTAAGCTTCCCATGTTTTCTCTCAACGTCTTCCCTTTTTTCGCTTACCACAAAAAGTATATTAAGGAGGGAAAGCTGGCAAAGCCACACAATGTATTTTGATATGTGGCAATAAAAACTTTCCGTCCAGAAGCGCCCTGAGGAGAGGGTGCTGCTCTAGACGGACCTTTGGTCTGATCCGGCATGGCTCTTCTTATGTCCTGAGCCCTGAGCAAGTGCCACAGGCTCACACAGGCTCCCAACTTGGGTTTCTCCCCTGTTCATACAGAAAAGCTGCACTTAGGGTGGGAGGGGGGAAGGGAGGGGCCATTTGTTTCTTTAGCAGGCGAGTTTACAATGGTGTGCAAACACTGTGGAGTGAAGAAATCCCTTTCTGAACGAGCCTAGTTGCAGCACATGCCGGAGAGAGGGTCAGGCCAGGGACGGTCTAGCCGGGGTTCCTTGACCCCAAGCCACCTGTTCCACGGGACAGCCCGGCCTGCCGCGATTTGGGGGGGGCGGGGCGGAGGGGACACAAAGGCAGCCCATCTGCAATCTGATCACAGCTCTCTCCTTCCTCCCTACCCTGGGAGGGGGCATGGCAG